ATATTTGTCCTGATTGTTAATGTTAGTTTTTGTGGAGTTTTTAAAGTAACAGTAGATTCAACAATTGCCACTGCTGCCACCATCTTCTCCCTGGCTTTGCTTGGTTTTATTTTAATTTAGAGCCCTAATTAATCTGGAAACTATTTTAATAAACACTGTGAAGGAGGAGTGTTAACTTTGATGTCTATTCTCTCAAGTGGATAGCTACTAGTCCCAGCACCATTTGTTGAATTGTCCCTTCTCTCTCTACAGATTGAGTTTTCCTGTCTGCCTGGGTTCTTTTCTGTTCCTTTGTTCTGTTTGTCTATTCCTAATCAATATCACAATGACCAAAGGAGCTGCTTTTGCAAAAGGATAAGAGGGTTTTCCAGGTAATGTAATAGTACGTTCAGAGGCCCTCAAAGCAGGACCTGCCTTGAAGGGACAGACAGAAGGAAGGCCAGGTTTGTTTGACTTTGGTACTGCAATGGAGGGTGAGAGTGCTAGATGGTGGGGCAAAAACAAGTGATATTAGCTGAAGGGTTTCATGTTAAATGCAATCGGAAGCTATTGAAAGATTTTAGGCTATTGAAAAATTTTAGACCGAAGTGGCAGGAGCTAATTTTTTTTTTTTAAATATATATATATTTATTTTTTAGTTTTCGGCGGACACAACATCTTTGTATGTGGTGCTGAGGATTGAACCCAGGCCGCACACATGCCAGGCGAGCGCGCTACCGCTTGACCACATCCCCAGCCCTGTCAGGAGCTGATTTTTAAAATCACTTTCTTTTGGTACTAGGGATTGAACCCTAGAGGTGCTTTACCACAGAGCTACATCTTTAGCCCTTTTTATTTTTTTTTTAAATTTTGAGATAAGTTTGGCCTCAAACTTGTCATCCTCCTGACTTAGGCTCCTGAGTCAATGGGATTACAGGCCTGTGCCACTGTGCCTGGCTCTATTTGCTTTTTTTTTTTTTTTTTGGTACTAGGGATTGAACCCAGGGGCACTTGACCACTGAGCCACATCCCCAGCCCTATTTTGTATTTAGAGACAGGGTCTCACTGAATTGCTTAGTGCCTAACTTTTGCTGAGGCTAACTTTGAACCCGCAATACTCCTGTCTCAGCCTCCCAAGCTGCTGGGATTATAGGCATGCGCCACCACTCCTGCCTCCATTCACTTTTTTGAAAAACTTTTTATTCTAATTTGTTATATATACATTCACTTTTGAAATGGTTGTATAATAGTTGTATAATAATATAATAATTGTGGGTAAATAAACTGTTTTTTTCAAATTAGCTTTTTCTTTTTGGAGACAGAAATTTGTCAGATATTTGGTTTTGGTACAACTTTTAGACTGTTAATACACTTACATGTCCTTAAAAAAGGTACAAAAAGACTGTCTGCTATAACTGAATACCACAAACTAGGTAAATTATGAAGAATAGGGATATATTTGGCTCATGGATCTTGAATCTGCAAAGTACAAGAACATGACATTGGCATCTGGCGAGAGCTATATGCTGCATCATAACATGGTGGAGGACATCACATAATGAGACAAAACAAGTGTGCTAGCTTGGGTTTCTCTGCCTCTACTTCCAAAGCCATTCATACCATCATTGGGGCCCCCATTTTCAGGACCTCATCTAAAATGAATTATCTCCCCCCAGAGGTCCCACTGTAATTACCATTAACACATGAATTTGGGGATTAAGTTCCAACACATGAATTTTGAGAGACATAAATTATAACTCTAGCAAGGGTATACCTATCCTTACTAGCCTAGTAACCTCCTGTTAAGCAATCAACAATTCATTTCTTGGTATCCTTCTGGAGAAATTATATATATATATATATCTTCCACCTTTTATACACAAATGGTGACCTGTGGATGTGCCGCAGCCTGGCTGTGCACAATTCACGAGCCACTTGTCAAGCAGAAACGAACTTTATTTTTAAAACACACGCTGAACCACAGGAGCTCTTCAGGAATTCCCTCAGAGCCCAACTGCCGCCTTGGGCTTCCAGCGAGCCTCTCAACCCCCCACTCCTCCTGCTCTTGAGGCCGATTGGCTGGGTCGCATGGGCGGAGCCAAAAGAGTCCCCCAATGAGCAGCTCCGTGGTCTGAAAGGGCGGGGAAACAGCCCAATGAGCATCACCACAGAGGAGCCAATCAGCTGGAAGTTTGCTGGGGCTGCTTAGGCAGTGGCTCTCAACATCTCCCCCTCTCTGTTTAATTAAACAACAAGCATGTGGCTTAGGGACCGTGCCTGCCTTAGGTTGTCCAATACTACATATGGTCCTTACCCGTCATTGGATTAGCTGACCTCAAGGTGTCAGCCTCCTGTCTTAGGTTGGTACCATTGCAATTGGATTTACCCTTCATTGACTACCGGTGTAGCATACAGCCACACCTGTGGATAGACCTTTGTACTAGTGGGGGGGTGAGGTTCTTTGCCTTTTCTGCTTGGAAAAAAAAAATCCTGGTTTCATTAGCCTCCAGGTGTGGGAGAACCACTGTCGCAGATGTAAGGATAGCCAAACAGGAGTTCTGGATATCAGCTGTGCCACAGTCTGGCTGGGCACACAATCACGAGCCACCACACAGCTTGTAGATTCAAACAGCAACTCTTTATTCCCGAACTCACACCAGCCGTCTACAAACACGTTCTGGGGAAATCCACGTTCTCTGCCCAAATCCACGTTCTCTGCCCAAATCCACTTCCACTGGGCTTCTGTCTCCCAAAAAATACTGTCTAAATCCCGTGAGAACTCAAGGGGAACTCAGGCAGCAGGATACGCCCTATTCCCAGCAGGAATAATCTTAAACCTTAAACCTGGAACCTAAACCGGGAACGCCCTAATCCGCCTTGGTCCTTGAGCAAGGTCACCTACATTCAATGTCACTGCAACATGGGGTACGCTGGCAAGGAAATTGTCATACCTACTTGGCTAATGGCTCCCAGCAAGCTGTTATGGATTTGAGCCAAATCATCTTCTTTTTGGTCTGTAGAAATCGCTTTAGTTAATCTCTCTGGAATCCAAATTGGCTGCTGTTCTCCCTGTGGAAACACATAAACAGTGCCCTCCACTGAACTACACTCCCAGATTTTTAATTTCTTTACTGTGAACTCTGCTCATGTCCTTTGCCTAGCTTTCTGTTGGACTATGGACTACTTGGTCTTTTGCTTAAAGATTTATATATGTTAGGGGAAATTAGTTACAAACATTTTTCCTGTTCATTGTTTGTCTTTTGACTTTGCTTATGGTTCCTGGGTTTTGTGTTCTAGAAAAACTATCTTCTTTCCAGTGTTACAAAATATTTAGACACAGTACTTTGATGATGTTATTATTTCCATGTAAGTATCTGATCCATATAATTCATCCTCTATGATGTGGGCCCTAGCTCTAATTCTTATTAGAGAACTCCCTGTTTTCCCAGTCTTATTTATAAAATCATCTTGCCCCCGTGTGCTGATGGAATGTAGACTAAAGGAAAAAGAGGATTTATAGGATGACCCCTATGGATTGAACCAATGGGTGGATAGCTGTGTAGTTTACTGACTTGGGAAGAATGGGGGAGGAGCCAGGTTTATGGGGTAAGTTGGAGTTGTGTTTGGGGCATGTCATTCTTGAGATGTCAAGTGAGAAGCTGGGAAGGCTATATTTTAGAGAATCAGCTAAGGAGAAATACTTATCATAGAGTACATGCTGAATGAATGATGAATGTTTTTTTAATGAATGAAATCTCTTTAAGTGTCTTCTAGTTTTCACTTGTACAAGAGTATGAAGAGAGAGCCTACAGAATTGGAGAAGGTCTTTGCCAGATACTCTTCCAGTGCAATTAATAACTAGAATGATAATAAAGAACTCAAAAAAACTTAACACCAAAAAAACCTAATAACCCACTCAATAAATGGGCAAATGACCTAAATAGACAGTTCTCAAAAGAAAAAATACAAATGGCCAACAGATATATGGAAAAATGTTCAATATTCTTAGCAATCATGGAAATGAAAATCAAAACTACACTGAGATTTCATCCTACCCCAGTTAGAATGTCAGTCATCAAGAATACAAGTAACCCATTGCTGGTGAGGATATGGGGGAAAAGACACACTCATTCATTATTGGGGAGACTTCAAATTATTGTAACTGCTTTGGAAAATAGTACAGAAATTCTTCAAATGACTAAGAATAGATCCACCATATTATCTAGCTGTCCTATTCCTTGGTATTTATGCAAAAGAACTAAAGGCAGCATACTATACTCATAGTCACATTGATATTTGTAGCAGCACACAATTCACAATAACTGAATTATGGAACCAGACTAGGTACCCATCAACAGATGAATGGATAAAGAAATTGTGGTGTATATACACACAATGAAGTTTTACTCAGCCATAAAGAAGAACGAAATGATGTTATTTGCTAGCAAATGAGTGGAACTGGAGAACATCGTGCTAAGTGAAATAAGCCAGACTCAGAAAGTCAAGGGTTGAGTGTTTTTCTCATATGCAGAAGCTAGAGAGAAAAAAGTAATAAAAAAAGGGATCTTAGGCAAATGGAAAGGAGATCAGTAGAAAAGAAGCAGGGAACCAAGGGGGAGTGAGGAGGGGTGGAAAAGGGGAAGAACTGGGGAATTAAGTTCACCAAATTATGCTACGTGCATGCATGAATATATCACAGTGTATTCCAGTCATGTAACTATAATGTACCAATTGGAAAAATAAATAAATGAAGGGAGACCAATAATGTAGAGAAAGGAGATCAGGGACAGAGAAGAGGGAAATACTGGGGATCAAAATGGAGCAAACTGTTATTATATATTCATGAATATGTCAAAATGAACACCACAGTTATGGATAATTACAATGAAGTAATAAATATAGAAATTCCATCTTGTCAACAATTTCTGGAAAATAAATCATAAGAAACAATAGTAATTGACCCTCACAATTAAATTGGGAGCTTGGGAGCCTGCAATTGGAAAGACATCTTTTTCTCTATTTTTTATATGGACTGCTTCACGAATTTGCTTGTCATCCTTCTACAGTGGCCATGCTAATATCTGTATCATTCCAATTTTAGTATGTGTTACTGAATTGAGTTCTGGAAAGACATTTTTTTTTGTGGTGCTGGGGATTAAACCCAGGGCCTCACACATGCTAAGCAAGCACTTTAGCACTTTACCACTGAGCTAAAATCCCAGCCCAACATGTCCTTTTTTTTTTTTTTGGTACTGGGGGGGATCTAACCTAGGGTGCTTTACTAGAGTTGCATCCCCAGCCCCCTTTTTTTAAATTCATAAGTCTTTAATGATCATTAGGTATGTTATTTAAATTAAATAAAAGATATCAATACAAATTTCAAGTTAGAATTATTAACACAGCAAATCTGCCAGCCATGGTGGCACATGCCTGTAATCCCATCGACTCAGGAAGTTGAAAGGCAGAAGGATGGCAAGTTGAAGGCCAGCCCCAGCAGCTTAGTGAGACCCTCAACAATTTAGTGAGACCCTGTTTCAAAATAAAATGTAAAAGGAGTAGGGATGTAGCTCAGTGGTAAAGCATCCCTGTGTGTGTGTTTATTTTTTCCTTGCTTTTTTAAAAAAAAATTATTTATTTATTGGTTTTATTTTTTAAATACATGACAGTGGAATGTATTACAATTCTTATTACACATATAGAACAATTTTTCATATCTCTGTATATAAAGTATGTTCACACCAGTTCATGTCTTCATACGTGTACTTTGGATAATGATGTCCATCACATTCCTCCATCATTGCTAAACCCCTGCCCCTTCTCTTCCTCTCCCACCCCTCTGCCCTATCTAGAGTTCATCAATTCCTCCCATGCTGCCTCTCTTTACCCAACTGTGAATCAGTCACCTTATATCAGAAAACATTTGCCATTTGTTTTTTGGGGGCATCCCCAGCCCTTTTTATTTTTATTTTGAGACAGGGTCTCACTAAGTTGCTGACAATCCTGCCAAATTTTTTAGGCTAGCCTTGAACTTTCAATCTTCCTGTCTCACTCTCCCAAGTGGCTGGGATTACACACACCACACCAGCCCATCATGTACTTTTTTGGTGGGGGAGGGAGTCAGATACCAGGGACACTCAGCCACTGAGCCACATCCCCAGCCCCATTTTGTATTTTATTTAGACACAGGGTCTCACTGAGTTGCTTAGCGCCGCACCATTGCTGAGGCTGGTTTTGAACTTGCGATTCTCCTGTCTCGGCCTCCCAAGCCTCTGGGATTTTAGGCTTTCATCACTGCACCCAGCTCATATATTTTTGATTGAATACTTTTTGTCCTATATGAATTTTACAATTTTCTAATTATTAGAGTGGGTTATTCTGTATTTATCTTTTTTTTTAAGAGAGAGGGAGAGAGAGAGAGAGAATTTTTTTTTTTTTTAATATTTATTTTTTACTTTTTCGGCGGACACAACATCTTTGTTTGTATGTGGTGCTGAGGATGGAACCCGGGCCGCACGCATGCCAGGCGAGCGCGCTACCGCTTGAGCCACATCCCCAGCCCTCTGTATTTATCTTGCACTTACTTTATGCCCAACATTTTCATGTTGTCTCATTTAGTCTGTTTTCCCCAGTATTGACAGTATCACTTCATCTTGCCCCTAGCATCTATAGGAGGTAGTAGGAAGGGGTCAGTAAAAGTTAAGCTGTTTTCTACCTGATCAAATTTAGATTAAAAAAAAAAAAAAGTCTTGAAACTTTCAAATCAATGTATCTATAGCTTAAAAATAACTATTTAAATTTTCAAAAGTAATAACTGTTCAGTGTCATGATGGAGGTAGTAGAAAGGTAGGGTTTTGTGCATGCACACGCACACATGCACCCTCGTGCATCTAGAATCTAACCCAGAGGTCATCTAACTTGTGTAAAAGACCAAATAATAATTTTTTTGTTGTGCCAACCACATGATTTTTTTCCCCAACACTTAGCTCTGCCACAGTGGCAGGAGAGTTTAAGGCAGCAGACTGGATTTGGCCTGAGGGCTATACTTTTCAGATACCTGCTTTAACCTAAAAAGTATTATGTGACTGTTTAGTAACTATCATGATTTTTTTTCTCTCTAGGCTAATGTAATGCTTGAATATGATATTGATGAAGCTCAGGCATTGTTGGAAAAGAATTTATCAACTGCTACAAAGAATCTTGATTCTCTTGAGGAAGACCTTGACTTTCTTCGAGATCAATTTACTACTACAGAAGTCAGTATCCTTTCTTAAAAACACAAAGAGAAAAAAAAATAATGTGAAGAATGTCCTTAAGGCTATTGTGAGGATGTAGATGTTATAGGAAATAACATATTTGAAACTTAGACATGAGTAACTTTATAGGTAGATCAAGAAATTTGAAATGTGAACATTTGGAAAAAGCAAATTCACCTTGGTGATTGAGTATTTTTCTTTTGAATACTTTCCTAACACTTTTATAGCTAGTTGGATAGTTTAATTCTATAAGCATTTATAAATTAAAAGTCTTCTGTGTTCCTGTAACTGTTCTAACCCATATAAGATAGAGAAATCAGTGGGGCGGGGTGAGCAGGGAGTGACAAAGTCTTTCTGTATTAAAACTGCACATGCCAAAGAGCTAAATGATAATGTCATAGCAAAGTGTTAAGTTCATATATGCAGCACCAAGGGTATTTGACGTTTAGAAAAGAGATGTGAACTGGAGTTAGGTCAGGGAAGGCTTTGTTGAGAAGATGAAACAGGAAGTATAGAATTTACATCAGCAGAGAAGTGAGGTGGGGTGTTCTGGTCAAGCTCTTTGCCTTTCTCTTCTGATGTGTATCTTCCTCCTATTCCTGTCATGCTTAAAGACAAAAACCTTGGTGAGGAGGGTTATCCTTCACATATCTCTCTTCCTCACTACTAAGAGTGAATTAATGACCAGATTCTTGTCAAATTTCATTCATAAATCTCTCTGCCCAGTGCCATTAGTTATTCTAGTTCTGGCTTTCTAGAGCATGCACTTAGTAGTTTTCTAACTGTCCTTCATGCTATCCCCAGCATGAATTTACTAAGTCATTAATGTATCTTATTTTTAGTTCTCTGGTTATGATATTTCAGTGGTTGTTTATTGTATGTAAGGTATGCATATAGACACTCTGAAGTGTCCCCAGCCAGTCTTGCCTCATGCCATTGACTTTTCTGCTGTGATTCTTCCCCAGTGCACAGTAGGGTCCAAATAACTCCAGTTGGTCTTCTCACCCCTAAAATGTAGAATGCCTTTTGCATTTCCACACACTGTTTCTCCTACCTGGCATGACTTCCCCTTATTTGCCTGCAGGTATTCCTTTATCTTTCATATCTTAGTTCAAGCATCAGAACATCACTGAATATTTTCTAATCCCCTCAGGATATTTTTTTGTCCCTCTGTGCTTATTTAGCACTTTGAACCTTTGAACTTAGTACTTTGTTTTCCTTGTGCAACCATGAGCTCTTCAAGTATAGGAGCTGCCCTTTTCTCCATTGTGTAGCATGAGTGTGTGACAGGTGCTTATTGCGTGGGTGAGGGAAGGCAGCCAATTTGAGGGCTAGTGTAGGGATCATCACTTAACTGGTGATGTGGAGAGACTTCGTTCAGCTGTGAGATGACAAGGACCTAGGAGAACTGGTATTTCTGGAAAGGAGAAGATGTTAAATGTGAGAGAAAAACAGGATCCATTGACTTACAGGAACCAAAAAAAAGGGGGGGGGGATCATAAGATTGACTGCAAGCTTTGTTATTGCTAGAGCTTGAAAAGATAGCATGGTGTACAGACATGGGAGTAAGTTAGGGCATCCAGTCTCTGATAACACTGACTGGAAATCAAGGTTTTGTATAATGTCTAGTTGGAAACACAATAGGTGCTTAATAAACTGAACGTCCTGTTAAGCTAAAGAGAGGATAAGAGATGAAGTTATTGAAATTTGTACTAATTTCTTATATGGCAAGATATGTGCTGAGTGATCTTTGAAATTTCATGGATGACAGACTGTCTTTAAAGCTATTGAACCAGGCACAGTGGTGCACAGCTCTAGTCCCAGCTACTTGGGCAGCTGAGGTATGAGGATCATTTGAGCCCAGGAATTCCAGGACAGCCTAGACAATGTAGTGAGACCTTTTATCAACAAAACAAAAAAAGAAAATATTGAGAGTTTCTGGCATGTACTTGTTAAATATACTACCATAGTTGACAATTGTTGATTGTAGTTCTTAACTTGGTTTTGGTAGAATTTAATTCTATTACTTTTTTAGCAATTGATACTATAGCAGGATGGCTGGCAACCCTAGTTATAATCAGTATTTGTGTACGTATGATTTCGGTCTTTGATTCATTGTGTGATTGAAGGCTTAGCCATTGTATATGTTTTCTTTAGAACTGCTTTTGCATTTTCTTTGACAATTCTTGCAGATATGGCCAGGGTTTATAATTGGGATGTAAAGAGAAGAAACAAAGACGATTCTACCAAGAACAAAGCGTAATGCTGAAAATTAAAAATGTGTTTCAGTTTTTCAAACATGTTATTTTAAATACTCCAGCATTTATCCGTAAAGAGTAACATAACTTTGAATGTTTTTTTTAACAGCAACTGATCAAAACCTTAAAAATAAACACCATTTTATTTATTTATAAAAATAAAATAAGTTACAAATATTTTATGAAATTACAGTATTTTCTTTTCACATTTCCCAGCAAAATTCATACTGCTTTCATAATTTTGTCTGTCATAAGACAACTCTTAACTGAAATTGGCCGAAAACTGTGAGGTATGCCATGGAGGCTGACTGTTGGGAACTAGCACAGTTTACTTTTTCTTTATTGATTGATCTTACCTGTACTTGATGTGGTTCAACCACTTTGGAAATAGAAAAGACAGTTTCAGTATATGTAAACTTGTTTTTCTTTAGTACTTGTAGAACTTTTATGGTCCTTTGTTGCCATTGTCTTCTCTAAGTGGGGTTTATATGAGTTCTTCTTAAACAATAAGTATCAAGATATTTGGATTTTTCAGAAAATGGCAATTTGCCTTCCTTCATAGTTGAGACGATACTTTAAAACCCTAAATAAGTGCACAGTGTCTTTGCAATGCTAATA